GTATACAATTTTATGTATGTATTCATGTATGTATGCATGTATACATTTATGTGATATATTTTTTGTATGCATTTTGTATGTATATATATATTTGTATGTATGTAGATTATGTCTATTACCGTTCATCATGCCTTTTGCACACATATGTACGATTATTTAGTTCCAAATCATCTGGCTCTTGTATGTAATTGCTTATAAATATATATGAGTGGATTTTGATATAGATGAATCCGTTGCTTGCCAGAGGAAATGGTGCACTAAGGTTTAAAGTTCTATGGACCTCTGTTGTTACGGATCATATGTATTGTCTATCAGGCTTACGGCGATTGCAACTGTATCTTCAATAGTCAATGTGTCACTTTGGCAGGAATGCGCACTTTATTTACTGACAAAACCCATGGAAACGTTTTTTCTTGCACGAATCTAACGATCTTAATAACAATTGTGTCGCTGTTGCAGCCATGTATAGCCCATGCACTGATAAACACCACGGAAACGTTTATTCCTGCAAGAATCCATTGATTTCAATAGTTATTTTGTCCCTTTGTCAGGAATATGTGCCCTATTTACTGATAATGACCTATCCACTGATAGTCGAATGCATGTAAAATCCTTTAGTCCTGTACGAATCTATTGATTTATCGGCGAGTCGGTGTTGGAGTGGCGTATCCGTTCACATCTCATCCGCTCTAATATCATACACGGTCTTCCCCTGTCATCTATGTCGCCTGATCTTACGCTCCTATATCCGCACAGAAACTGCAATTCTCAAAGACCAAATCAGATGCCGTAGCCAAACACCGGGGTAACTTCATTCCCCGGCCCCGTCGTCCCAAAGGGGAGAAGCGCAGACTGGAGATGGAGGCGTTAGACCGGGTGAGACGGGCCCTGGAACAGCAGAGCACAGGACCTGGGTGGAACCACGGGGGGTACCCTGACCAAGCACAGCACCTAGACACGCAGCAACAGGCGGGTAATGAGTATTACAGCCACGGAGACCCGAATTCGAGTATGAACACCAACAACATGAACAACAACAACAACAACAACAACAGCAGCTACCCGAGCAACATGCAGCAGAACCCCAGCGCCATGGGAGAGTCCAAGTCCAGTATGCCCAGCGGAGACTACAGGTCTATGGCCACTCAGGCCCAGCAGCAGCAACAACCGTACACGAACACCGGTAACGCGTACAGTAACCAGCCACCGCAACAGTTCTCCGGACCACCCCCCACCCAAGCACCCCCAGCGGCTTTGGCTGCGCCGGTTAATCCCCCCAATCACATTCTGCTGCTGACTGGCTTGCCAGCGGGCACTACCCAGGATATTATATACGGACTCTTCAATCGGTTCTATGGCTTAAAGGAGGTATATATATGTGTGTGTTGTGCAGGTCAAGGGCAGACTCATACTATTTGTGGGAGTGGCAATAGAGGTTTGTGTTAAGATGATGTCTGAGTACGTTCACTGATTTGAGGTATTCTGAATCCAACATTTGTGCAAGATGAAATATAGGCAAGAAATAACTAGATGGTCGCGTAGGCGTTTGTGCTATAGAATTAATCTTCTA